ACCAAGTCTTCACAATACATGAAAATTTGAGAATTCCCAATCCTTCTCACTTTCCAACGATCGATCCGATGACCACCAACTCCTTCCAATTAGGGCTCCATTACCCGCCAACCACAAGTGATCACACACTTCTAAGAACTAGTTGAACACTTCCTGAATCCCAGTGAAACCGACAGTCCCTAAAACTTGAATGATCCCACACTCAAATCCTGAAGTCCAAAAGGCAGATGCTTCAACTAACATCTCAACAACGAGTTACTTCCTTTGGCGCTTTCCTCTGCCAATCAATAACGGTTACTGAACTACTGAATCCTGACAACGCTGAATAACCATTCTGTGGGACTCTGTCCGCAGACCTCCCACATAACACCCTTCTTCCCAAAGTGCTCCAACAAATCTCCCGCCCTCGGCTCTAGAAATAATATCATTCAGGGTCTCGCACCCTGACTCACTCACCAGCTCAATCATCCACAGCTGAACTGCAGTGGCTGAAGCAACCTCTGCCCTATACCGAGCTACAAACTGCTCCCAAGGCATAGTCTCCAATCCCAAAAGTGCAATAGACCGCACAATCAATCCTTACCGCCCGATACAAGAGATCCAAGGCGAATTGGATTTCACAAGATACTTATGCCACCTCGACTCACCCGCGCTTACCAGCGCAGAACTACTGTCGCCAATCTCGGCTACCAACTGACCCCGAGCTGGAATACAACCTGATCCTGGGTCACAAGCCTGCTCAATCCTTCGAGCTCGTAAACTGAAAGAACACAATCCTTGCCCTGGAAAACGACGTTCCAATCCATCAATTAACTATTCTACTTCCAGTTGCAAAACCCCAACTGAACATAATCATCACTCCTTTCCGGAGTCCCCGCGAGCTTCAAATCAATTAATGTGTTATGCTCTCCCGCTCAACCCGCGGAAATATAACGAGTACAAATCATCTTCCTGATCCCAGATAACTGTAGCCCTCTGCTCAGCAGAATATGTCCCAGTAACTAGTCTCGGGACTGAAAAGCTCGACCAGCTCCTCCCCATGTCGCCGTTACAGCTGTTGAAGCTGCTGCGGCAGCCGTCTCAGCAATGGCTGCATAGCGCTCATCAAAGTACTCAACCATGGCGGTCTTGATAGACCCAAACATCTTTGTAATCTGACCCCGGACAAATCTCGATCACCTCCTCCCAGATGATCTCACCGACACGATCCACTGACAATGCTGGCCTATCCTGGCTGTCGGCTCCCGATCCTAACTTGGATTTGGTCTCAAGACGTCTCGTAACCACCATTCTGGTAACACACCAGAGAGATCTCTGATAACCCATACAATGACATGAAACCAACTCCCAACCAAACCCTAGGGGTTGTGACTTCCTTGCTACGCGTATGGGTCCTGTGCTTTCAGTAGTACGGGCCCATACTACCTTCCACACCTACACATATTTGTCTCAAGTATCACCACAACACCCTAACAATATACATAAACATAGTGAGCATTCAATCCCTACTCCTAGAGGAAAGGTAACTGTCTCACGACTGACCTCCCGGTCCCACACAACTCACCCATCCATGAAACTTCCACCAACCCTGCAGCACTAGTGTATGCTAGCCATACATAACGCTGGACCCTATAGACTTTCGAATATCCAATCCTACCCTAAGCTCCCAATCAAACAAGAACAGAACATAAGGCCAAATCAAACATTCTCAGGCTATAAGATCTTAATTATGTATAACCGTGATGCATACACTAAGCAACTGCAGTAATGATGTCAATCTCATAAAAAGGAAACCCTAGGCTAGCAGGCATCATGTAATCAGACAATTCTATCATGCAATTCCTGAAGATCCCTAGCCTAGCACTAGCATGCTGTTCTAACATATCACATAATCAAATAACTGTATGGTATTTTGGGGTCTACTTACTGGCTCCGGCTGATCGTACACCCTGCATCCCCTTTTACTTATTTTGAAAAGCATTTAAAAATCATTTTAAAATCCTTTCCTTGATTTGAGACTGGATTCACACGAGTGTTCCTCCAATTCACTCAAACCAAGGCTCTGATACCAACTTGTAACACCCTTAAAATTCAAGCCAATTTAAAACTTTTTAGAACATTTAAAACCATTAAGTTATTACAATTTGTTTTCAAAATAGTTTAATCATCAGATTATCCCCAGAATCAAATCGTAAAATCATGAACTATGAGGAGCTGTACGATCACGCCTTTGCCTTGCCACGATCCCCTGATGCACCTGAAACAATAAACTGAAACTGTAAGCCCGAAAGCTTAGTGAGTTCCCCCAAAATACCCATACCCACAACAACACACACATAATCATAAACAACATACTATGGGTCAAATCAACCATCGGGTTGGAATACCCCAGGCCCTCAACCAACAGGTTGGAATGCCAACACACTATGGGTCCAATCAACCATCAGGTTGGAATACCCCAGGCCCACAACCAACAGGTTGGAATGCCCACATACTATGAGTCCAATCATCCTCTGGATGGAATACTCACGGCCCACAACCAACAGGTTGGAATGCCCAGGTCTATTGGCTTTCGCACAAAGCAGATAAGCCTCAACCGCCAAACAAACATGTTCACGTATAACAGATAATCACATAACAGTCTATAGACAATACTTGATCTAACAGATCATACCACATAGCACATAACACCATCCCATCTACCAGGATACCGATCTAACAGATCATACCACATATCATATAATATTATCCTACCCTCTAGGATACCGATCTAACATATCATTCTAGCATAACATAACCATATAACAATTCAAAGGGCTAGCCTTGGTGCCTTAGACCCTTGAGTATAGTGAGGATAACTCACCTGACACCGTTGAAGTCCAGCAGATACAACTCCAGCTGTTGGTTGACAGATTCCCGAACTGTCAACATCAAACAATACCCAATTAGTAATTGGGTTCCAAGCCCAAGGTCCAACTCACACTCCAAAGGTCCAATAGTCAAATAATGGGCTAAAGCCCAACATATAGCCCAATTTTCCAAATTGGGCCCAGACCTCTACATGGTCTTCCTTAAGGTCCATTATTATTCCAATCCAATTCCCATGGCCCATTATCACATAGTCATAAAGTCTCAATTATGGCCCAATCCTCCAAATTGGGCCCAAGTCCTCACATGGGCCTTATCCTAAATCCCATCTACTTATTTTGGTCCATTAACTTGTTCTTGGACAACTCATCAGTAGTCCAATCGCCAAAACCCACTAGGAAGGCCCAACTCAAGGCCCATGTGAAATTAGGGTTTCACATAAAATGACAATTAGGGTTAAGTGTTTCTCACTTAACCCATTAAGGACTTAATCCATTAAGTCCCTCACTTTACTAAATAAGTCATATGGTGTGATTGGGCTTAATACACAATTCCATTCCAATGGCACAAATGTGGGTCCCGATAAGTCCAAGCCCATAATCCTAAAATTAGGGTTTTATTGGCATTAGGGTTTTCCAAACCCTAATTAGGGTTTCCAACCCAAATACTAGCCCATTTATCGGTTTGTTGGGCTTTTAGGTCAATTAGGGCTTTATTGGGCCTATTAGGCACACTAGAATATCATTAAGTCCATTAGGGTTTTATTGGGTCAATTAGGGTCCATTAGGGCTTACAAGGCCTATTAGGGTTTCAAGCACCCTAAACGAATCGAACTCAACGAGGCAAGCACACCGCCACCCGACACGGCGGCCGGTGGCGGCAGCTACCACCTAACGGTGGTGGTGACGAATTTTCTTCACTATTCCAATTAATACAAAATTACAACGAAATAACCAACCCGCACACACACACACACTAGGATAAACACATACACACACAATGGTGGCTCATGGCGGCAGCCACCACCTCACGGTGGTGGCAGTGGCTGTTCTTTGAGAATGTCGGCTAGACAACACCCAAACACCACATAACTGCAAAAGACACACACACACTCCTGCATTTTCTGTTGTAAAACGAACTCAGTCACCCCATAGTGGCGCACGACGGCGATAGCAGGAGGCTGTGTACCTGCAGGCGGTGCCTTGCGATGACAGCCACCCCCGGTGATGCACAGTGACGGTAGCAGGAGCACCATCGGTGACAGCAACGACTCATAGGGCAGCAGCGTTTCGCGATGAAAGCCACCACCTCACGGTGGTGGCGACGGTTGTTTCTTGATTCACTGCCCGAAAATACTTCACCCACGCGAGAGATGACGTGATTCTGCAGCCCCCAACCACCAACTGTGGTGGCGTTACGATGGCGAGACGGAGGATCAAGGCAGCGGTCTCCAACGTCGTTTGAAGGTTTGGTCTCGGCAGTCCAAAACCTCCGACAACAGCGCTGTGGCGGCGTCCTGCGACTTGCGACCTCGACGGAGGTGGTTGCGGCTTGAACGAAAAAGGGAAGTGGCACAGGAGATCGGAGGAGAGGAGGGTGGCGGCTGGATGGAGGTAGAGGGGTGACGGCTGCATCATAACCCGTCTAGGGTTAGGGTTTGAGAGGGTAGCGGGTTTTATATCCCGACTCCCTCATAACATTTTCCCATAACGATGGAAATAGCCCCTCCATCATATTTTCCCTTCAATTTAGACCCAAATGTTACCAAATGGCCCTTCCTATACAAAACCCTTTTCAAGTCAGGTCCATAACTTACCATTTAGTCCCTGTCCCCAAGAATCTTTTCAATATAAGTCCAAATGATACCAAAACACCCCTGAGTTCTAGCATCCTTTGCAAAATAAATCCCGAGATTACACTTTTAACCTTTGGAAGTTCAAATCTTGTCATTTGGCTTCCCAAAACCAACTCCCAACTAATTATTGTTTGGTTTTGGATTATTATAATATTAAATAATAATAATAATTACTTCTCGGGGTCCCGGGTTTATCATTAATTATTCTATTTTAAATGGGATGTTACAAATATAACTTGGAATATATTAAGGAGAAGATGAAGATCGAGTTGAGGCTATGATGGAGGCCAAGATGGAAGCCAAGATAGAAGAGATGAATGCTCAGATGGAAGAGATGAAAACATATATGCAACAGCTTCTCTCAAAGAATGAAGGCATACACATTACCAGTCCGGTATTGAAGAAAAATAGTGTCGTCGGTATTGAAGAAAAATAGTGTCGTCTCGACTGTATCAGATGAGTTGGATGGGATAAAGGTAATCATGTGTTTTTTTTCTTATATACAAGATATTTGATCATATATTAACATATACATTATATGTTTGCAGACTCCTACTGCTTGCGAGTTAGTGATACCATACGACGCAATGAACCAAAAATGTGTAAAAGGGATGGTCTTTCCATATGGGAATGGACAAATACATCCAGTTCCTTTAAATGCAAATCATTTGAGGGTATCCATAGACAAGATCTGTGACCAATATGATTGTATCCCTCTTCCTGTCTCGACTGAAGAAGCGTGTAAGCTGTGTGAGGCGCTTCATGGTATAGTTCAGTGGCCAAGGAATGCAATTAAGATCATTCAGGTACATAGAATTATGATTAACTTTGTTTAGAATTAGAGTAATAAATAGTTGTGCACACATCTAACTTGTTAACAGTCCTCACAATTCAAGCCAAATGTTGAACAAGATAAAAGATGTTCCTCTCCAACCTTATTAGTTATTATATGTATATTATAAATTGTACAAATATGTGATAATCAAACAATTTTTTAATGTTCGTACAAAAACAAAGCAACCTCGCATAACCAAGAGTGTGCCAGTAATCTCGAAGGGTGTTATGAAGAAGACCAAGCCATCAAAGGAAAGTTTGATACCACATAATTATAATAAGCAAGTCGAACTAGAAAAAATGCCCCTGGTCATGAAAAGAATGTATAGACGTTTGATGAATCGTGAAGCTCCTGATGATGCGATTTATGTTGAAGCCGAACCCGGGATCCTTGGAGCTCGGAAAATTGAAACGTACATTTACCCCGAGGAGATTTTACGTCTGTTGAATAAACAATGGCTTGATATTAGTGTCATAACTTGGTTTCAAATGTAAGTACAAACAACAATGTTTAAATTATTTTCGTTTATAGTATTTACATTTATAATGTATATTTTCTGGTTTGTAGCATGTTACATTCAATGCTTGAAACACGTGGTGGGAATAAGGTTAACAAATGTGCTTTCATTTCCCCCCGAGCGAGATTCAAGCAACAATATGCGAGTCAAATGGTGAGGGTGTTGTAAGTTACATTGTTGATGCAATGCGCTTCCATAAAGACAAACAATTTTTTGTCGCACCCTATTGGCAAGGGTATTGAATCTTACTGCTTTCATTTTTATTGGCTTTATTTCTTTATTGTGTATACTAAAATGTATTAACATTACTAGATTGCATTGGATGCTGCTAGTAATCTGCCCTAACCAAGGCACATGGTATGTATTGGATTCCCAAAAAAATCCAGATGAGAAGCCCGTGGAGAACTACATAGTCGTGAAATATGTCGAAGAGTAAGAAATCTTTTTGTATTTCCGACTGTTATTTCTTTCTATGGCTTTTTTAATTTTTTTCTAAACTTGATTTTAGGGCTGTTGGAAGGCTTAAGGAAGATATCGACACAACACACCCAATGAATTGGACACTTGTCGAGGTAAAAGTACTTCATGGGTACCCTGAACCTGCTTCTTGTTAATTTTTTTTATTAAAAACTGATACCTGGAACACGGAACCTGTTCCATCATCAGATCAAAACCCTAGGTTCAAAGTAAAAGTTCTCTAATCCTTTGTTGTTCATATTTGTAGTGCAACCAACAACCATCATGTTGGGAGTGCGGTTTTTACGTCATGAGATGGATGTTTGAGTTCGTGTTGACTCGACAAAATGAATTCCCAAAGAAAGTAAGTATCTTAAATCTTTGTGCAATTTGTATAATATGTTAAACATTCTTTATTAAGTTATAATTTATTTTTTAATTTATATATAGAAAAACTGGAACGATAAAAAACCATTTCCGGATTGGGTGTTAAAGGAAATCATCGTTATGTGGAGCTCAAGGTTTGAGAGTAACTATTTGAGTCAAGTGCCCCTTTGAAAGGTTAGTTATTCTTACCTAATTGTTTATTATAGCATTTTACTTTAATGTACTTGATTATTATAACACTGCACTTGCATTTCATTTTATACAACATTGTACCTAAAAAAACTCATCAAGACATTGTACTTTTAAAAATGAACCTACTGTAGCATCATACTTTCAAATCTTTATCTTATTAGGACATTAAACTACAAAAAAATATATATTGTAAAAATAATTTGAATTTGGAGGATCTTGCTATTATGGGATATATGTCTCAATGTATATCAATAGGAAGAAATGGTAGTAGGATGTCTTAATAAACAAATAAATGAAACTATGTTGCTATTTCCTGCAAATTAACTCAACTTTTTATTATCATGACAATTATATGTTCCCTTTTTTCCATTAGTTGCAACTTTTAGTTTCTTTTCTTGTCTTATGTCGCAGGTATGTGGCTGCAATTATGGAGTTTGACATCTACCAGATGGATCTGTTTGTCTTTTTATATATTTAATTTTTCGTTGATTAGGATGGACAAATTTGGTTTATTGCAAATTATGTTTGAATTGGATATTGTTAATTTTTGAAATTAATGACCAATCATGCTTTTGTTTTGACTTATATATATATTCTGTTTGTTCATGAAATGTTTGTGTGTAGAAATTATTTATAGGCATGTTTCTTTATAGAAAAGTGTAATTATTGTATTTAATTTATGAAATATATTTATTTAGAATGTCATTTGGCAATAAGAAACCATACTTTACAATATTTTATAAGGAGTACGGTTACATTGAAAAAACAGTATTCTATGTGTTTCGTTAAAAGAATAAGGCTACTTTTAAAAAACCCTAAAACCGTATTTTATAATGATTATAGAGTATTGGTTTTGCAACCGTACCGTATTATTTAAAAAACCGTACTTTATGATGATTGTAGAGTACGGTTTTACAACCGTATTGTATTATCTAGAAAACCGTACTATATGATGATTATAGAATACGGTTTTACAACCGTATTGTATTACATGTTTGAATAGGAAACCCCCCTTATAGAGTATGGCTGTAAAACCGTATTCTATGTTTCATTTTAACAATATTCTATTTGTTATTTTGTAGTAGTGCACGGTGGTGTTGCGGTTGCAGCAATGGTGGCGATCTTTGAAACTTTAAAGCATATACTAATCGTGGTGATTTTGTTTATTTCCTATAAAAAGATGGTATTTCTCATTTAACTTGATGATCTATGTGGATTTAATGAGGTGGAAGGAATAAGTGAAAAAACCTCCACATCAGCTATATAACGTTCTAAACATTTGAAATTTAACATAATCCCCTAATAAAACTATATTGTCTAAGTTAAATGATCTCAGATGGTAAAAAAAAAAAAAAAAGTTAGAATGATCAATTAAAGATGATAGAAGTAAAACTTTGTACGGTTTTCGGGCCAATAACCAATAAAGAAAACGGAAGATATCTAAAACTGTATCTGCGCACTTTTAATCTGGATAGTGGACATCGCCAACAAAAATCCACAATACAATAACACCGAATCCGGCCCAACTGGGTCCGGTCTAACATATTTCTCCATATAGTAGTGTAACAGTCTAGACACTTCTCGTCTTTCATTCGCAGTTTTGACTTTCACAGACAACCAAAACCCTAAAATTCAGCATCAACAATGGCCATGAGATCACTCATTGTCTCTCGATCAGCTCTTTTACGTCTTTCCATGGATTCGTCAAGTTCTCGATCAGCCTTCCGTTTTTTCAGCGACCAAGGTCGCGTCTTAAGCGATGAAGAACGTGCCGCTGAGAATGTCTACATCAGGGTACACGCGTCTCTCTATATGTCTGTTTATCGATTAATAGTATATATAGTCTAGTGATGATATGTTGAAGTTGAATACATATGTATCTCTATTTGTGTTTATATCGATTGAAGTTGTATAAAGCCAGCTAATTCACTGGTTGACTCGGGGTGTTATTGTTGTGTTATGTAGAAAATGGAGAAAGAGAAGCTTGAGAAGCAAAAACGCAAGGAGGAAAAGGAGAAAGCCGAGAAAGAGAAGGCCGAGAAGGTAAGATAATGGTTTAAGTTGAATTTGGATAATTGTAACACTTTGTATCATCGGATTTTAGCCTTTTCTGATTATAAATCTAAGTAAAACTATAGAGAATCAGACTTGTAATCTCTTAAACTTTTATCTATAAAACAAATTGTTTAGACGTTAACCATTTGAAAGTTTGATTTTGGTTTTATCAACTTGATTTGTTATCATATATACAAAATAAGCATTTGTCCTCAGTCTTTCTAGTCTTCAAGTAACATATATACTGAAATTTTAACCTATAATATTAACCTTAATGTTGATCCATTTTCTTCCAGAAACCTTAGGTACCAGGGAGATGTTCATCACACACTGCTGCTGAAGCTGTTGCAAGTATTTCAGAGAAGAATAATGTATGTGATTTTAAACGCTTTTTGTGGGTCTCTGTATAGAGTGTGCTGACACTTCTGGATATTTCCATGATCATGTGTTCTTGTAGTCATGGGGTCTCCACAAGTTTAGATTGGAACTGTACTTTCAGTGACATAACTTTATAGTTCCATTACTTATGTTCTTGTTTCTGCCCCTTCTTCTCAAATACCTGAAACAACCCAATTCACTTGGAATTGTTGTGAACAAATATGGTGACAAAATCCTGTCTTGTTCGGGAAGGTTGCCAATGGGGTGAAAATGTGAAAGAGAGTTGAATGGGTTGTTTGGAATTGGGTTCAAAAGTAGGGATGTGTTGATGATCAAATTACTTGGATAACTGTAGGATCATGTAATCATTTTCCTTAAAATCTATTTTCTTCTTGTTCTTGGGATACTACAAGTAGTTTTGTAGGATAATTTTAACACTTAAATTATTTGGCACACAAAAAGATAAGCTAGATATCATATTCGAATTAGATTGTTCAAGATTGTAGGAGTTTCAAAAAGTGGTGTGTTATAGTATAAGGATGAAAAGAATGGTGGTTTTCAGAAGTTCAAAATAAAAATAGTCACAGGTAGTTAAGGTAGTTAGCTGAAGTTGAAAATAGTTAGAGGCAGTTAAGGTAGTTAGTTGAAGATTGGAAGTTAGATTCGTCTGTCCTATAATATAGTTAGGCTAAAGGGTATCATACCGGTGGTAATATATGAAGAACATGATTTTGAATCTAAAAATCGTATTGGATGCTTTGAACCCTTCTATGGTCGCTAAAAACGTTCGTGTGTTTTCTTGGAGGCTGGAATTGGGTCTACCCCAAAATATAGTTTATAAAGGGTAGATGATAATGGTTTCTTAAACCACTAAATTAGCTGAATCCAGGTTGGGTCAAAACAACATCGTTTTTTGACAATTCAACAGACCTTCATGGCTGGAAAACATGAGAAAGAAACAAGTCTGGGTTGCAGCGGTAGTTAAAACAAATTCATCAGTTCATTGTCTTTTCAGAACATTTATCTATTTTGCTGGTATTCATATAACATGTTAGATAGTTGGTTATCCAATTACAACAATAACCGTTAAACATACTTCAAAATGATCAGACAACACTAAAATCACAAAATGGAAGAGAGCGGTTTAATTAATTGTCAAAATTTCACATACACTAAAATGCCAGATTAATAAAAAAAAATAAAATAAAATGGCAGATGAGTGTTTTAACTTTTTATTGAAAACCTTGATATCATGGGTTAAAAGGGTTGATTTGAAAAATGTTTTACAATATTTATGGTTGATGTAGTGTTTGTCTGTTTGACACCCCACAGTTAGTTTGATAAGCCAAACTTTTTTTTTTAATTGTCATGTTTGGTAAGTTAAGAAATAGCTTATAATCTAGTTCTAACTTATAAGTTACCTTTTGAAATAGCTACTTAAACTAGTTTTTAAGCTGCCTGGTGTGGGCAACGCCCACTATCGTTATGATGACGTGAACGCCGGAAAACACCGTGGTAACGGCCGCACACCGCCCCGCCTAACCGTTTTTACGCGTTATATGACCATCTGTTGTGCTGGTAATGACGGGCAACATCTGTTCACTCTCTTCCCTCTTTATTTCTTCTTTCTAGGCCATTCAACAGCATTTTTATGAAGGAACATAATCCCTCTTTCTTCCTTAACGCCATTTTCTTCTTTCCAAATGTGTGCGTTTTTTTTCTTCATAAAACTTGCTACTAATTAGCAAGCTTTTTTTAATGACCTGGTGAGTCTCATATATTTTTAAACCAATAGCAAAAAGTCAAATATAACACAAAACATAAATAATCAAAAAGAAAAAACGCTTCTATTGTGGAGGCTTATGGGTCTCACATACACATCATAATATTGGCATGGACCATATGATTATATTAAAGTCACATCAAGTGTTTTCAAGCATGACATTTGAACTTAAGATTTAGTAGGGTTTTCTTTATCTTATTTACGTCATGCGTTTATGGGTGTCACATACACCGACAAACACTTTGTTTATTGATTTGATGATGATAACTTCCTATAATTAGAGTAAATTACAATCTGTTAGTAAACTTGTTAGTTTAGACCCCTGTAACAGTATTTGTATAAAAAGATTGTGACATACTTCTAGAGTTCTAGTTTATAGTATTCAAAGGCATTATGAAGAAATTGTGTATAGTATTTGTATGTCAAGACTGACACGATTTAAATTTGAAGAACGTAAAGACTCAAGGTAACTCTAGGAGTTTTCAATTTGTATAAATAATACTCTCATATAAATCCGAATATATCTTGAGCCGGTCTTACTTTTATCTACATAATATAAATTTGTCTCAATCGGATATATATCTACTGATATATATCTTAGAGATAACATATTTTCGGTTTCAAAATCAATTGTTTTTTATATCGTTTTTTTTTTCCGTACACAATACATATAAAATATAAAAGTCTATCGTTCAAGTCCACGTAATTTAGTCATTAGTCATTCCAAAAATGGGATAATGACTTAAAAGGGTAATATATTTTTGGATTTGTACACATTTGGTCACTGAGTTTTTTTTTCGTCCACATTTACCCCTTCAACTTGTTAAACTGTACACATTTAGTCCTTATGACCAGCTACTCCAGGTTATTCGGTAAAAATGACTTAATAGGGTAATATATTTATCACTTTGTACACATTTAGTCCTTAATATTTTTGTACACATTTAGTCTTTAATATATATATATATATATATATATATATATATATATATTATATATATATATATATGCAAAATAAGACATTTTTATTTTTGTACTCATTCGGTACTTATGAATGATTTCTTTAGTTTTTCTCACGACATCTTACGTAGGATAGACATATGGTGATGGGATAGGTTGCGATGGTCATGTTATGTGTTGTAGGCCAAGATACCTATTGCGAGCCGGCTGTAAGCCATAGGTACGGAGGCTCGAGAAGAGCGGTTGGGTTGAGGCGGCAGGCCAACAAACCCTGGGTATTCCAGTCTGATGATTGATTGGACTTGTTTCATGTTGACATTTCAGTCCGATGACTGATTGGGCCAAGGTATTACAATCTGATGAGTGTGAACCCGTTATGCATTATAATACGTTTGTTGTATGAGGTATTTTGAGGAAAACTCACTAAGTTTTGTGCTTACCCAGTTGTTTATGTTTTCAGGTTCTATCATCGATCATGAGAATGCGAAGGCAGGACTGTACACACTCATCAACAGTATTGAGGATTCCGCGTTTCTTATATTACTCTGATTTTCGATAAATGTATTTTGGAATAAACGTTTTTTTCTTAATAATGAATTTATAATTAGAGAGTTTTGCCTTATTTAAAAATGAAAATGTTTGGTTTTGAAAATGAGACGTTACACATAAACATCACCAACCCCACACACTCCATCAATGATTGTCTCACATAAGATGTTGTGAGAAAAACCTAAAGAAATCATTCATAAATACTGAATGAATAAAAAACAAAAATGACTTATATTGAAACAAAAAAAAAATATTAAGGACTAAATATGTAGAAAATGAGAAATATATTACCCTATTAAGTCATTTTTCCCGGCTAACCTTAAGTAACCGGTCATAAGGACTAAATGTGTACAGTTTAACAAGTTGAAGGGGTAAATATGAACGAAAAAAAACTCAGTGACAAATGTGTACAAATCCAAAAATATATTACCTTTTTAGTACCAAATGAAAACGCACATGGCCCCATCTGGAAACCGCTGTCCGGATGGGTGGCATCACCCGACCCGTATCCTATGCCTCCAATAACAGCCGCCTGGTGATTTACTGAAATCAATGACATGAAAGCTGTGCGGCGACTCAATAAACCCATTCAAACCTTGGAAACAAATAGAAGGAACCTGTCATCCATAGCCACACCCTTACCAGTGGACGCACATGGCCCCATCTGGAAACCCCAGGAAACCCCTTCGTATGTGCCTACATACCCTATTCGTCTATCCGTTTTACACCAACTTTTGCAAAAATGTGCGAGAGAAAGTTTACCCATGGAAGGGATGGCTTGTCATGGCTGTATAATTCAGTATGGACTGTGGGCAAACACTTTAACTTCAAATATGCTCATTAATATGTACTCAAAATGTGGGTTTCTGGAGTATGCGCGGAGAGTGTTCGATGAAATGCCTGAAAGAAGCCTAGTTTCTTGGAATACCATGATTGGTTCATATACCCAAAATGGAAACGAAAGGGAGGCTCTTGATCTTTTTGTTCAGATGCAAAGAGAAGGAACAGAATTCAGTGAATTCACACTTTCAGGCGTTTTGTGTGCTTGTGCAGCTGAGTTTGCAGTGTTCGAGTGTAGGCAGTTACATGCTTTTGCTCTCAAAGCATCTATGCTTGAAAACATGTTCGTTGGCACTGCTTTACTTGATGTTTATGCCAAATGCAACCTACTAAAAGATGCAATCCGTGTCTTTGAATATATGCCTGAAAGGAGTGCTGTGACATGGAGCTCAATGGTTGCAGGATATGTGAAAAACGAGCTTCATGAGGAAGCATTGATGACATTTAAAAAAGTACAAATTACAGGAGTTGAATTCAACCAGTTCATTCTTTCTTCAGTTCTTGCAGCTTGTGCAGCTATAGCTGCTAAAATTGAAGGAATTCAAGCACATGCAGTGTTGTTCAAAACAGGTTTCATTCTAAACTTCTTTGTTTCTTCTTCCCTAGTAGACATGTACTCCAAATGTGGAAGCATCAATGAAGCTTATGTAGTGTTCTCATGTGTAAAACAAAAGAATATTGTTTTACTAAATGCAATGATTTCTGGGTTTTCAAGACATGGTCGATCCATGGAAGCAATGATGTTATTTGAAAAAATGCAGCAAATTGGCTTGCAACCAAACGAGGTTACTTATGTTTCTGTATTGTCTGCTTGTGGCCATATGGGGTTAGTGAAAGAAGGGAAGAAATACTTTGAAATGATGGTGAAAGAACATAACTTATCACCTAATGTTGTTCATTATTCATGCATGGTTGATGTTCTTGGTAGAACAGGTTTGATCAATGAAGCTAAAATCTTGATTGACAAAATGCCATTTGAGGCTACTGCTTCCATTTGGGGATCACTTTTAAGCTCATGTAGAGTCTATGGAAATATCGAATTAGCTGAGATTGCTGCTAAAACATTTGTTTGAAATTGAACCTGAAAATGCTGGAAATCATGTGTTGCTTTCAAACATTTATGCTGCAAATAGAAAATGGGATGAAGTTATACAAGCAAGAAAGCTTCTTAAAGAAACAGAAGTAAAGAAAGAAAGAGGTAAGAGTTGGATTGAGGTTAAAGACAAAGTTCATGCCTTTATGGTTGGAGAAAGAAACCATGATAGAATCCATGAGATTTATTCAAAGTTGGAGGGTATTCTTGAAGAAATCAGAAAGTTTGGTTATAGATGTGAGACACAACATGATTTGCATAATGTTGAAGAGAATCAGAAAGAGGAACTTTTAAGGCACCATAGTGAGAAACTTGCTTTTGTTTTTGGAGTAATGTGTTTACCTTCTTCTGCTCCTATAAGAATCATGAAGAATCTTAGGATTTGTGGGGATTGCCATGTTTTTATGAAGTTGGCATCAAAGATTACAGGAAGAGAGGTTGTAGTAAGAGATACAAATCGGTTTCATCATTTTAGGAATGGGTTTTGTTCGTGTGGAGAGTTTTGGTAATGTTATGGAAACTTTAATGTTATATATAACAACATAGAAGGGTTAAAAGTAGACATGTTGATTTAATGTACAATGGTTGGGTTATTATTATTTTTCTTTTTGATAGGGACTTTCACTTTCACTTTCACTTGTGTTTTCTTGATTTGATCCAACTTTTGGGAGTAAAAACATTTTTTTTTTTTGAGTAAATTAGAAATATGGTTGGTATACCATTTGTTTTGTGAGTAAACGAGGGGTGTATAAAACATTTGAATTCAAAAATTGGATCTGAATTTGTCCAATATCGTGGATATCCAAAGTTCATATATATATATATATATATATATATATATATAATATATATATATATATATATATATATATATATATATATATATATAGATATATATATATATATATATATATATATTTGATTTTCCGGATACGAATTTAAATGGTAATCTTAATAAAATGATGGATATCCAAAAATCAGAAAATATATAACATATATTTTATCATTTTAGATATGATTTATGCTTGTTTTGTATTGACAAACAAAATTGTGGATTTAGGGCATCCATGGCGAGAGTTATTTCAAAAGCTTATTGAGGCAAATAAATAATGAAAAGACCAAAAATAAAACTATTATTAGAGCTTTTTCATTTTAAAGTTTTTTCATGTGTAAATTTACAAGCTTAATTAATAGATTTTTTTTTCTTTCATATTTTTATACTATTTTAATCATTTACTTTATAAATTAATATAAAGGGTAAATTACACCATTCGTCCCTCGTGCATATGTCCAAACGCACGTTTAGTCCCTATTTTCAAAAATTAACTCGGACTGTTCCTAGATTTGTTTTTTCTTACACGCTTAGTCCCTATTGACATGAAATGACTATATTGCCCTTATTAATTTCTTTTTATGTTTTTTAATTCATTTATATTACCCTTAATTCATTTATATAATTATTTTATCATTAAATTAATAGGTCCCACCCTCTTTTATCACACATCCCTCGTCTTCATCTCTTTGTTGAACAAGTCCTTCAATTACAGTCAGAGCTTCAACACCACCGACCGTTTGCAGCAATCCGACAACCGTCTCCGGAAATCACCACCACTAGTGAAAAATACCTGATATCAAAATTAACGTTGAGATCACAAGTCAAACCTAAAACACATACTCGTTTGGAAATCGTTTTGACAAATCCCAGAAAAAACATTTGAAGTTCTTGAGTTCTGAATTCAAGAATATTGGCATAGTGCTTCAAAAAATCCCTCAAAACGTTTGTATAAATCACATAAATCGTTTATAAAAATTCTGGAAAATCAATCCTCTAGATCTATAACTCATTCCCATCAATCCTCTAGATCTATAAACTCGTGCCTAGAAAATTATTTGAAGAAATTAGAGAAATCGTTTGGGAGAGTAAACCTACAAAAAACCCTAGAACTCTATGAACATGAACACGAAGTTCATCCATGGTAGATCTGGAACACAAAGTTTTGATGTTTGATTTTGTTTTCTAATTGGGGCTTGTGTGTAGCTTAAGTTCTGGGTTTTGATTTTTGGGACATACTGATGGATGAGAGAGAGAGAGAGAGAGAGAGAGAGAGAGAGAGAGAGAGAGAGAGTTTGGGATGGTTGCATTCATCTTCCATGGATGTACCAGAGAGGTCTAGAACATCACCGAAAATGGTGGTGGTTTCAGGATGATGGTTTGGATCTCAAGATGGTTTTTCGTTTTCATTCTTCATCTTTCATGTTGTATATAAGCTTCAGAATACATATTAGCAGCGGTAAGTGGTTTCCAATGGATTCCGGTGGCAAACCACTGGTTTCCGGCGGCGTTGGGAAGCTAAGACGATGATAAGGTAGTTTCTTTTAGATGAGAACATGATATGAGAACAGAGAATAAAAAGAGTGTAGGACCATTTACCTTTTTAAATAAACAAATAATAAATAAATTGGAAAAATAATAAGTAAGGATAAATGAAAAATAAATACACTAAGGGCACTATGGTCATTTTAGATCTGGCATGGACTACATTTGCAACAAAAACGCATATCAGGGACAATGCGTGCAAGTTTGAAGCACATGAGGGACGGTCCGAGTTAATTTTTGAAAATAGGGACTAAACCTGCGTTTGGACATATGCACGAGGGACGAACGGTGTAATTCACCCTAATATAAACTAGTAAGTGAACTCGTGGTGAACTACAGATTACTTTGTTTCTTGAGTTTTTTTGTCACCGGTTCGTTACAAGCAAAATGCATTCTGTCCCTACACTTAAAAGGGAAATAAAGAACCTGCCATAAATGACATTAAACACAAATCACTTGTCCCCACTTACCCAAAGAAGTGTATAAGTGATAAATCCGATAGCACTCTAAGAATAAACAAATGATGATTTGATTTAAGTTTGATTATTCTAGTGCTAATAAATGATAACCACTTTATATAAATATATACAAAACTCGGAGGAATTCATCAGAAACCATCAAACTTTTACAAAAAAAAAATCTTATTGATTATGAATTTATGATTTGATAATGTCGAAACAATCTTATTGGAAGGATAAGCCACCAAAGTTTTGGAATGTTTTGTTGAATATATTTGGTAAAGCTGAAACAAACATAAATAAACTACAACTATAAAATTTGAGAATAAACGAAATCGGTGCATAAACTAAAAAGCATACCATTAACATTTTGTTCTGACATTGTAGCTCCCTACACAATGACTCAAGTTTATTTTGAATAGTAATAGCTGAAAATGAGAGAATAATAACATTAAAGCAAAAATTGCGGAAATACACAAGGGAAAGAAGTGACTTTCTTTTGAAATAAATTTCCAAAACAATAATTAGTTTATATTTATCAAGTGATGCGGAAACTCACCGCTAAATCAATACATACTTAAACAATGATAATGAAGACAAAAGATTAGCATATAGTCTACTGCTACTGAAACATTTTCAGGTTCTCCATCTGCTTTAACATAACATAAATGGGTGGAATTTAGCAAAATACGATTAAAATATAAAAAAATCATTAAATTTGTATTATGATTTGTGGATTATTCGTTACTTGCAATCTTCAAGCGTGATGGGCGTAATTCAAATGAGGTTGTTCTGAATTTTCATTTCCACTTGAACCTTCACCATCAGAAGTAGTTGAAATTTCCAAGTTTAAATTGAATCCATGATCGCTTCTTGTATCAGAAATTGCAAAATTTTGTAAAATTTAAAAGAAACAACAACACAGACTGACAAAGTGTGATTGTGGTTGATGAAAGTTGTATTACTGTGATGAGTTGAAGGAAGCATGTTGTTTCCTTGGTAAGTATTGCCTTCAAAGTTGGTGATTGTTTCCCTTCCAAATCCCACCTGTCAAAGCCATATTCCAAATTCAAAATTAACATACAAAGTCGCTTGGCTATGGTACCAACAACTACATACAATGCAAATTACAACTGGAAAATAAATAGTTGATTGGATGAAGATCACTATTTCATACAATAAAAGCAGAAGTATTAGCAAAAATTAACAAATGAAAAGGAGATAAGAGATTGAAATTACCAAATTAAGAAAATAAGTGTAACATCTTGTTTCATGTCGTTTTCATTTCGGAATGACGATCAAGGATTGGGTATTAGCAAGGTTAGAATCATTGAGGAAGTTAGTTTTGGAGCTCATTTAGAGGTGGATGATGTATTGGATGAACCGGGTATTTGACTGTGATGTGGAGCTAAAGGGGTATTTCGGTAATTTGTCTGTTGGGCTTTTATGGGAAGTAGATGTTCATTCGGAATATCCTATGGCTGGTATGAGTTGATAATAGTGTAGCGCTTCTCAATACCTTTTCATGGGTATAAGGATGGTGGGAGTCGGAGTTGTATTAAAGAAGTTATGGCTTTCAGATTAAATTAGGGTTTGGAGGAAGACCTTAGTACGCTGGGCGTACCAAGGAGGTACGCGGGGCGTACTGACACGAAGAGCTATACACCATGCGTAAAGGAGTGTACGCTTAGCGTACAGAGAGGAGTGGGTTGGGGTGCGAGGAGGTACGTTGGGCGTACGAGGAGGTACGCTGGGTGTACGAGAGGAAGTTAAAAACCCTAATACCGAGTATTGTACCCTATATAAGCATAATGTTAGTCCTTTTTCTTCATTTCCAAGCCAGCCTCCATATCTTAGAAACCCTAATTCGACCATGTTGCCTCTTAAGGGTGTTCTTGAGCTCTTGGATGGATTTGGTGCTCTTTTATGCTTTTGGAAGGAAAGAAGAGGAGTTTGAAGTTGCTTGGCTTGGTGGAATGACCTTAGATCCAGAGCCATCATCTTGTAGGGAAGCTATTTGAGGCATCAAGTTTCAATCTTGCCTTGTGTATGAATAGATCTCCTCATGACTAGTTTATTGTGATTTTGGCATTCTTTTTGAGTTAATGGATGAGCTAAGTTGTTTAAAGGTTCATCCTTTCAGAT